GTCCTCCCCGCTGCTCGCCATGGTCTGAGCTCCCACCCGCCAGGATGACTAACCCCCTCCATGCTGGGCCAATGCCCGATAGGGTGGTTTAGGGTCAGGGTGTGAACATGTAACCGATGAGCCTCGTCAGTTAACCTTCACGGTTACACACAGGCTTCACCTGGCGCTGCTGCCTCTGTCTCAGAGGAAGCAGCACAGAGGGAGCTGGTACTCGCAGGGTGCCGGCTTTTAAGAGACAGCAGCGAGGGGGTGGGGAGGCAGGCAGCTCCACAGAAGCTGGTACCTGCCTGCCCTCTCCTCTCCCAGCACGGCTGCCTCTGATACAGAGGCAGCACTGCAGGGGGGCATGGGAACCGATACACATGGAGAGACAGCTTAAAAGCCACTTCCCTGCTGGGTGTAAACACAAAACCACTGAAAATGTCAGCGGTTACGTTTACCTAAATAAACGCATTTTAACTTCCCTATTTGGGGTTAGCACAGGGGTCACAAGGCACATTTTTTATTGGTTGTGATGACACACTCGACTACAGGGGTTTCAAGGCACAATCGCAAGGTGCCTCAATGCTTCCTCTCGGCCCAGGCTGACTCCCTGCCTCCTGCTGCTCCAGTCTCAAGTGCAACCAACACCAAAGTCCCTGCGTCCCAGGGAGCCAAAACAAGACTCCTGAACACAGCAGGGAAGAAAGGGGCCCGTTGGCATGTTCATACAGCAGCCTAAGGAGGGGAAAGGAGCTGCTGGCATCTGCCAGAGAGGGAGGGGACATTAATGTCCAGCCAGTTCCATCAGAGCTGTTTACATGAAAAGCAGGTGGCAAGTGCCACGTAATGCTGCATGCTCAGAAGCATCTCGGGTCCCTAAACCCAAGGGGGGCAGCCTCCAGCTCTGCACTGGGACTCCCATCCATACACCCTGATTGGCTTGGGAGTTGGAGAGTGTGTGAAGTCTTTTCCCCCCACCTGGAGAGAATCACCAGCTGTTTTAACAGCTGGCAGTTCCCTCTAGGCGCTGCAGAAGGAGGAGACTTTGCATGCTTACCCCTGCCCCCAAGCCAATCAGGACCTGCAGGTGCAGGGAGCATGTGAAGTCTCTCGCTCCCTGCCCCCGCCCTGCCAGGGGCACACAGTGGCTAGAGAGAACCACCAACTGTTTTAAAACAGCCAGCAGTTCCCTCTGATGCGGTGTACCCCTGGCGGGGGGAGGAGACTTCACGTGCACCCCCATCCCCAGGTCTCGATTGGCCTGGGGGCTGGAGGGCAGCAGGGTGGCTGTGGGACAGATTCACTGGGCCAGATCTGGCCTGCAGAGTCTGTCTTGCCCACCAGATTTAAGATGAACTGAGCATGCTCAGTAGCTCTGCTGAAGCCACTGCCCTTCTCTGTGCCCACACTATACGTAAGTTTCTGCTAACTACATTTTACAGTGGGGTTAAAAAAGGGGCTAAGCAGAGGAAGGGAGCAAAACTGACTGGGCAGGCAGGTGAAGCAGCTGCACGCAGGGTTAGAAGATCTAGATCTTGTCTGTCTTGCCACTCACCCGGGGAGAAAGGTAAGCAGCTAGTTTTAGCTCTTCTGCAAGGCACTATTTTTAGCCCCCCCTGCAAACAGTCTGACATAGCCCCGAGAGGGCTAGTAACAAGAGACCCAACTAGCAGAGGCAGCAACTATTTCCAGCTGGTGTTTTTCACTAGCTCACAAGGCATCGCAGGGTAAATCCAAGGGAGACAGGAGAGGAAAGGCGTGGAGCCACGGAAGGGTTATGGTGCCAACACCCAGGCATGGCTTCCCTTTAGAGACCTGCAATGAATAGGCCTGGCAATCAGCAACACAAGCAGGGCTTTGTTAGGGAGCATGCACTGAGCTCATGCCGACTGACTGCAGCTCTGTGCACGCTGGGGGTGGGGACCTTCACCTCGGGGTGAGGTCACATTCTGTCCCTTCTGCAGAGCAAGCTCACTCCCTCACACAGGGCTGCAACGCAGTCCACTGGCCCTGTGAGAAGGCAAACGTTGAAGCAGGCCACACATGCCATGTTGCCCTGCAGGGACTGCCCGCAGAGAGAAGAGCCCTACTACTGCTGCCAGGGGAGGCAGAGCTCACATCTGGGGGCTGAGAAAGGAGGGCTGTAATACCAGTCCTGCAGGTGAGGGATCAGGTCTGTTCTCTGCAGCCCACGGGTTTTGTTTCAGGAGCACAAGAGCTTTGCACATGCACAGCAAAAGTTTCTATCCTGAGGGGTCCCACGGGATCTAATGAAACAAAGCTGCACCTACATGGACAGCAGTCGACCCAAGTGATGACGGCATTCAGCCGGCATGGCTGGTGCCTTGCAGACGGATGCACGGCTGACCGTTGGGCATACTCCCGAAGGGTGCAAGTATCAATAGAAAGTGTGAAGCACGCTGGGTGCAGCGCGCCACCATTCTATGCAATGTCTTCGGGAGAAATTTTGCATGTGTGTTGTGTGACAGAAATGACTTGCCCAGGGATCTCTGGAAACTAAGGGTCAAGTTCCCAGCATGCAACTTTCTCCAGCCCATAATGTTACCCATAGCTCATACTTTTCATGGTTTTTTTTGTTTTTTTTTAAAGTCTCTCAAATCCACACAGCACATTTGGCTGTCTGCTATCTGGGACAGAAAGAGGGAACCCGCCAAGCTCGGCTCTATTCTCATGAACTCTGTGGGGCTGATGGCATAAAGGAGACAGACTAGGGCCCAGAAGATCCAGTTCTGTCACCGATTTTCTGTGTGATCTTGAACAAGCCTCTTGCCCTTCTCTGTCCCTCAGCTTCGCCGTGTAGAAAAGAGACAGAGACAATCAGGGATGTGAATGGGTAATGGTTAATCTGCACTCAGCAGCCCCACTCTGTGTGGGGCGAGAAGGAGCAGCCAGCACCGCCTCCTCCCTGCCCCCTCTCCCAGGCTGGAGCAGCTCCTGCATGCAGCTGGGGTGGAGGGTGGGGGAGACGCACTCCAGCTCATCTACCTTTTAATGGGTTAACTGATTAAGCACTACAGATAGCTCAGTGGTTTGTGCACTGGCCTGCTAAACCTAGGGTTGTGAGGTCAATCCTTGAGGGGCCATTTAGGGGTCTAGGGCAAATCTGTCAGGGATTGTACTTGGTCCTATTGTAAGGGCAAGGGACTGGACTTGATGACCTCTCAAGGTCCCGTCAAGCCCTATAAGAGAGGGATATCTCCATATATTTTTTTTTAACTGATTGAACGGGATTTTACATCCCTAGAGACAATGCTGCTTCACCTGAAGGTTCCTGTCTGAGGCATAACATGCCAAAGATGTATTATCTACACAGCCCTGGTGATGGCCCCCACCTCTGAGGTGGAGGGGTGGCTAGGCTGAAGGTGGGTGCATAGGACAGCAAAATGGGGGAGGTATTTTGGGCAAGCTTCCACCTCTCACACTAAGGGGCCAGAGGATCCCCGCGTGTCCACGCACAGAAGACGACAACATCTCTCTTGAACGGTGCTGCCTTGAAGGGGTCCTGCCCGAGGCACTGCACAATGGGGTGTGTCAGCCTGGTCTGGATTAGGGATGGAAATGCGCCTTTAAAATGTTAACCAGATACAATTTTAATCATTTAACTGGTTAAATGGGGACCAGACAGCCCGCAGGGGCCTTCTCCAGCCAGCCAGGGTCTCCCCGAGCTATGTCATGCTGCCGTGGGCCTGGCCGGAGGCCTCCCCAACCACAGCAGGGCAGGGGCCTGGTAAGGGTGATGCTTACTGGGTAACCACTTAACCCTTTCCATCCCTGCTCTGGATTTCCGAAGACCACAGGATTTTGCAGTCCTGCTATACAGATTCCTTGCCCACCTCCCGCTAGAATCACTGCTGGGGTTATTCCTTTCCATGCTGGAGAACAAAGACTCCACTCCAGCTGGCCTGTGAGCTGCATCATCCCATTGCTCGGACTCTCAGCACCTACCCCAAACTGGATGGAGTTCTCCGGCCTGTGCCATGCAGGGAGTCAGGCTAGAGGATCGGAATGGTCCCTTCTGGCCTTAATAAATTGCTCAGCAGCACTGGGCAGTGTCTCAGATTTTACCACAAGGTTCACTAGCTCCCCATCCCATTCAGTCATTCACCTTCTACACCAGTGAGGGACAAGCTTTGGCTCCCAAACTCCTGCCCAGGGATGCTAGGCCCCTGCCCCTCCCCTTCCTTCGCCCCTCTGCTCGCCATGCTACCAAGCTCCTGCTGGGCAGCGCAGTGCCACATGCCGGGGTGCAACAGGTAACGAGGTTGGGGGACGGAAGTGGGGGGGCTGCAGGTCACGGAATTGCAGTGCCACATGCCGGGGTGCAACGGGTAACAAGGTTGGGGGATGGAAGTGGGGGGGCTGCAGGTCACGGAATGGGGAGCAAGGGGGTTAAATAAGGTGTGGGGGGGGGTCAGAGGCCAGGTCACACCTGGTAGGCCACACCTGGTTTTTTGGGGGGCCCCAGCCTCCCCTACCCACCCTCCATATAATATTGGAACCCTCATGAGGCTCTCAGGCCAAAAATTCTGTCTCTGTGTCTCTCCCTCCTCTGGTGTAGATACTCTTAACTGCTGGGGAAGGTTTTGCTGACTGAAAAAGGAACCCATTTGTAGAAACACCCCCACCCCAGAGGCAGCAGGAGACAGGTTTTTTGGGGGGCCCCAGCCTCCCCTACCCACCCTCCATATAATATTGGAACCCTCATGAGGCTCTCAGGCCAAAAATTCTGTCTCTGTGTCTCTCCCTCCTCTGGTGTAGATACTCTTAACTGCTGGGGAAGGTTTTGCTGACTGAAAAAGGAACCCATTTGTAGAAACACCCCCACCCCAGAGGCAGCAGGAGACACGTTGCTACCAGACCGAACTCAATGCTCTTAGAAAAAGCAAGACCAGCTCTCTGGACATTTGACAACTGGTGAGACAGACAGACGGATCTGACAAGTTCAAGTAGTGAAGCGCAAGCCAGGACCGGAAGAAGGAAAAACCATTGGAACGTACTTTATCTCCAATCGTAATGAAGGTTCTGGAGTCCAAATTCCTTGGAGGCCTGCATGGAGGGGGGGGAAGAGAGAGAGAGAGAGAAACACATTACAGTCCACATCCCCGACCTCCTTGCCACACCACAACAGAGTGCAAATTGTCCACATCCCACGGTCCTCTACAAATACAGGCTTCTCTCCCACCAGCACATACGTAGCTTTCCTCACGCACGGCGCTTCCACGCAGGATTCAAGCCATGCACATGCACCAGCGTCTGTTGGGGCTGGGCCATAGCCCACCAAGAGGAGTCAATTACTTCAGGTGAGCAGCCAAGCAATGGGACAGAGAGTCTCTCACGCCAGGAGATCAGCCAGAGACACCAATATAGGAGTCTAAGATTTCATACTGGACTAGACCAGCCAGTCACACCATGGCATCTACCCATCCACACGACATACAGGATGAAAACCCCAGCTCCAGAAGAGAGAAGCTATTTTCTAGATGAGATGATCTTTCTGCGGAAGAGCCCGTTTCACGCACCCCTGACATGCGAGCAGGCAGAACATTTTAGTGGCATTATGCTGTAATGGACACTAGCTAGTTGAATGGTTTTTTGGGCGGTTCCTTACTAGGGATGTAAGTGATTAGTTGACTATCCCATAAACAGAAGCTTCTCAGATAGTCGACCAGTGATGTGACTAGTTGCTTCCCCCACCCTTACTGCCTCTATCAGAGAGAGGCAGAAATGGGGGGGGGAGGGGGAGAGAGCAGGAGCCAGTGCTGGGGGAGCCAGCTTAAAAGTTGGTTCCCCCCAGCACCATCTCCGCAGGAAGCAGGGGAGATGGAGGCAGAGCAGAAACGGCGTGAGCAGGAACTGAAGCCGACTCCGCTTGTGCCACTTCTGCTGCGAGTCTGCTTTTGAAAAGTACAAGAGCCCCAGCATTTCAAAAGCAGAAGCCCCACAGGGACCAACGGGGAACTGGCCCCGCACTCCCTGCAGAGCTTCCTTTTGAAATATACAAGAGCCTTGTCAGGGCGCTTGCTTCTGCTTTTGAAATGTACAAGAGCCCTGCTGGGGCTCTTGTACATTTCAGAAGCTAAGGCACCACAGGGAGTGCAGGGCCAGAAGGGTCCCCCAGTGGTCCCCCGCTCCCTGCAGGGCTTCCGCTTCTCAACTGTAGCAGGAGCCCAGTAGGGCTCTTGCTATAGTTCAAAGGTGGAGGTGCCCTTATACACTAATCGAATAATCGATGGAAATCCCATCGATATTCAATTAGTTAATCTAAATTTAACACCCCTATTCCTCACTTGTTTCTATCCTTCACCTTCCATTATTGTTAAAAATCGATTTTAAAATCTAGGTTTACTTTCCACACTCATGCGTGGTTACTTCCCCTGCTCACTCGCAGCCCCAGTTGGAGAATAAGAACAGCCAGTAAGTTTAGCCTCCAGGTTCTCATTTGCTAACACAACGTCTGTCTCCAAGGAACAGTTTCATCCCAAAGCAAAAGCTCTGGTCCACTCTAAGCACATGGAATATTTCTGTTACTGCCCGGCTGGAGCAGCTCTTGTACCTTTGAGCCCAGGCTCTGGGCCACTGACTGGACACTAACCCTTTCTTTAGGAGCGCTCTAGGTGTGAGGACGAAGACGGGCCGATCATGGTGCATTTACACATTAGGCTTTTCCCTATGGAGAATTGTATGTTGACGGGAGCATATCTGAATGAGCCTGGGGGTTTTCCAGCTTGGGGCCTCTGCTCAGGGCAGTTTCAGAATAAGCCAGGTATGGTGTGCAAGTCAGGACAAAGGGCTGGCAGGGTCTTGTACATGTCTGTGCTTTTCAAAGAGCAACTCCCAGAGTAAACAGGGGAGAGACACATTCCAAGTGGGCAACAAAGGCACCAGGCGATGGCAACAAAAACAAGATATTCTGTGCCCTCCTTCTACCAAGGCATGATTTAAATTAACACCGATGCAGCAAGATTCCTTCAGCCCATTAAATAACGTTTCCTAGTTCTGATGCCAGCAGCCAGCTCACAGGTCCCAGGGTGCTTCTACGCTGAACATGCACAAAACTACAGCACGTCATCGAAATCAGTGGCTTGCTGCAGGGATTGGTCACCTCAGAAGCCAATGCCACTGCAAGCCAGACACTGAGATGCTACCACAACATGGAGGGAAAGACTTGAAAATAAAAGAAAGTTGGACTTCTAAAATTGAAACGGGACATTCCTCTTGCACTGGCCCATCATTAGTCTGAAATCTCAAGGCAGACTTGCAGGAACATGGAAAATCAGAACTCAGCAGCAGCAACTTACGTTGGGTTCACCACAGGTTGCTTGATGGGGACACATGTTATTTTCAGATCCCGTTTTTTCTTGCCTTTCACTGAAAGAAAAAAAAGATACATCCAGCAGCTACAGACAGGTCTGTTCAGTCCTTCCTCTACCCCCAAACTTCCTCCTGCCCTGCATGAACAGACTGGCTACTACAAAGCTACTGTCCAACTCCATGGCCACTTGAACTCCAGGGCTGGCTGGCTGCTTTTCACTATCGCTTGATCCAAGCAGAAGAGAAAGAAATTGGAGGGGGTTGTGCCAGATCATTTGGCCTCCTAAGGGAAACCCATCTAGCCTAGTCCTCTGCACTGCTGCTCCTTAGTCTAGTCTTTTATTCCTCCTCTTCCTTGTTTGGTGGCTTCCTCCTCCTAACTCTCGAGGGCAGCCTAGGTCACAGCAGAACGTAGCCAGCAAGAGACACTGAAGATCAAGTTGGCAGGGAACGCTCACTTCACCACCCTCCCGTCACTTATGAGCCTAAGGAATAGGGTTACTCCAGCACAACTGGGCTTGGAAGGGCATTCCAAATGGACTAGGGGTGCAAGGAACCAGATGCACCAGCCTTCTGTTTTCGGGGAGACCAGAGTCCTGATTGTTTCCTGCCTTGCATCTTATCAACATCGCTAAGAAGCGAGTCTAGTGCTACCAGCTGTAGGTGAGACCACGGCAAGGGTGAACGCTGTCTCTGTCACAAGTGAAAGCAGGCCGTGGGTCTCATCACAGCCATTTGTCTGCCTCACAGAAGGCCAGTGTAGGACTAAGGATGTTAAATTTAAATTAATCAACTAATCGAACAGGCGATGTAATGTGCATTGATTATTCAATGAGTTGATAAATTACATTAAATTAATAGAGATTGCCCAACTCCTAGAACTGGAAGAGACCTTGAAAGGTCTTGAATCCAGTCCCCTGCCTTCACAGCAGGACCAAGTACCATCCCTGATGAATTTTTGCCCCAAATCCCTAAATGGCCTGAGTAAGGATTGAACTCTCAACCCTGGGTTTAGCAGGCCAATGCACAAACCACTGAGCTATCCCTCCACCCTACTGGCTCTTGCTACATTTCAAAGGTGGAAGCACCGTGGGGAGTGCAGACAGCAGGGGACTCAAACAGTCCCCCTCTGGTCCCGCTTTTGAAATGTACAAGAGCCCCCACTGGTCCCGTGCTCCTGATGGCACTTCTGCTTTTGAAACGTAGCAAGATCCCTGTTCTTGCTACATTTCAAAGGCAGAAGCGCCACCAGCTCCCCACTGCACCCCTGCTTTTAAGCCAGCTCCCCTCAGCACCGGATCCTGCTCTCCCCCCTGCCACTTACTGCCTCTCTCTGAGGACATCAGCATCTGAGGACATCAAGACTAAAAGGGGGTGTGGCAAAGGAACTTGGCCAAGCTGTGTGAGATCACACTACTCTTATTAACCTTGGTGTGCTTTTTTTAAGTGCCTTACACAGATCAGCTAACTAAATCATTTTACTGGGCACCTACCTTGCTTGGGAGACTCAAAAGATCTTCTGGGATCTACCAAAAAAAAAAAAAAAAAAAGAGGGAGGGAGGGAGGGAGATTAGATCAGTTTTAATGGAGTAGGACAAGGCCTAGTACAGATTGAGCCTTCATGCTGCTGGGTAACAAAATTCACTCCAGCACGCAACACACATCTGGAAAGGAAAGAGGCCCGGGTTGTATTTTCCACAAAGGTAGGAGATGCTCACGAACAGAGCTGCAGCAGAAGCAGCGATCAACCTATTGCAGGATTTTTTCTGCCCAACTTGGCAGACTGCAGTAGGCATGGAAACTGCAGCCTGAAGTGGAGGCTCTGCAGAAGAGGACATGAAATAAGCAGAGCTCCACTCCCTTGCGTTATGAATTCACCGGGCTGCTTGATACGGGATCTTTTGGCCACATGAGGTCGCCACTCCATTAATGTTACACCACAGAAGCCCAGATCCCATTGGCCCAGGGGGTCCTTCCATCTACCAGATCCTACACAGGGGTAGGGAACCTATGAATCCAGTCCCAGGCTTGCTTTGATCTGTCCTGCAGTGAGGCTCAGAGCTCCCCACTGCAAAGGGGCAAGCCAGTGCATGTCTCCCAGCCTCGGGGCTGGAGCATGAACGCAGGCTCGCTGCTCTGGTAGGGGAAGCACAGAGCCTCGGCATGCCCCTCTCCCCTCACAGGGTTGCAGCGTCTCTGAGTTTGTTTTTTGGGATTTTTTTTGTTTTGTTTTTACTGCTTAGTCAAGGGCCAGGTCAATGAGGTTTCGGGGATTTTTTTCCCCCTCCTTTTGCTGCTCACTTGTGTGCCCCCCCACTGATCTCAGTGGCCCCCGGACCATAGCAAAGTTCCCCACCCCTGTCCTACAAGATTCATTCAGTGCAAGAGTATCACTGACATCATCCAGGCGGAGCTAGTTGGCCGCTAGTGCGAGGTTTCACCCCGTGTTTTAAGGACACCGACCTGATTATTGTGAAAGTACAAACAGGAAGACTGAGGTTTGCTGCCAACAGCTTCTTTAGCACACTGTGACCTAGAAGATGCCCTAAGAGAGGAGTGCTCTAGTGACCTGATGGTTGGAACTCTCTCTCCTGCTACGAGCAGCTGAATGGCCCTAGGCATGTTACAACCTCCCTGCAAAGTGGGAATGGTACCCACCCTCCTGGGGACAGAGTCAGTTTGTCCGGGTCTCTGAACGCGATAGAGGGGGAGGAGCGCATGGCGGTAACAGGACATCGGCGTCAAAGGGCAGCAAGGCTGCCGGGAGAGGAGATTCCTGCAGTAGCGTTAACGGAGCCAGAGAGGCAACGGCTGCCACAGCCCTCTGTGCCCCGACCAGACAGAGGAGATGTACAAAATGTTCCCAGCACGAACACGGCTGCTGTGCGTGTCACCAGCTGGCACCAGGCACCCCTGACAACAAGATCTCCCCTCCCCCCCGCAAACCTCAGCCTCGCTCATGGCTCAGAACCGGGAAGGGAGGAGAAAGCAGATCTGGAGGTGGCCGCTGAGCGGCTGCGCTAGATTCCAGCCCCTAACACCCCAGTCAGAGAGCTTCAGAACGCCACCTGCTTTCCCAGCACGCTGGAGGACGGCTCAGAACAGTGCCAGGAGGGAAACTTGATGGGGACCCCCAGAGCAGAGGACCCACTAGATATCAAGGCCTCCCCTCCACCACCTCCTGCATTTCATCTCCCCATCCCCAGCGTCCCATGGCACAGCAGCCGGCTCACATTGCAGGCCGCCCCTGCCAGCCTGGTGGTGTGTGCTCACCCACCGACTTAGAACGCTGGGCGAGACATCTCCCGCGGGTCACCCAGCTGCAGCTTGGACTCAGGCTGCTGAGGGTCCCCCCAGAAAGATGCTCTGGTAGCAGCTACGCCAGGAGTTGCCCGTTGTGCAGGCTGGGTTAATGTACGACCATCTGTCCCACTCAGCGGGGTACCTGCCCCAGTCCAATGGAAAGGTTAAGGCTCTCCCCCCCACCCCCGCAGGTGTGTTCTCTACTTCTATCCAAGCCCTGAGGAGACCCTCTTCCTGCCACCTGTCAGTTTTGCTCCTAGACTTAACCAGAGCACAGCTGTGCAAGGCAACCACCTCCTTTCCCCCTCCCACACCCAGTACGAAAGCACACTGCGCTGGCAGCATTCCCATCCTGTGCCACTGAGGGAGATGGGCTCACGCAGTAGCCTCTTATTACAAGCCTCGCCTTCCCCATCACGCACCGACAAAGCCAGCCTGCTGGCCGGCGCTCATCCCACCTTTATTCCCGTCGTGCCATTGCAGCACTCCAGAGAAGGAAACGATGGCAGCCAGTGTCACCGCGAAATCCCCACCAGAAACCTGCAGCCCTGGGAGGTGGAGGGGGGCTGCGTACCCAAGCACGCGCAAGTTCGCTGACAGACCTCAACAGCAAGCAGCCAGCTCCTAGCCCCAG